CGATGCTGAGCCGTCTGGCATTGGACACTCAAAACTCAACCATAATCAAAACAGCAACAAAAATTTTAAGAAAAAAAAATAATGGTTGAAAATTCATTTATATCATTTTGAATCAACAAAAGGAGAGAAAAAAGAACAAACTATGTGCTGCTTGTGGGTTTAATATCCTTAAAAAGATGCACAACTGAATACAATAACATATTACAATATGTTTAATTTTATTACCAGAAGTTAATCAGCAAATTTTTAACGACGGTTTACATACAACACTTAAAAAAAATAATAGAAAATTAAATCAAATTAATATCTGTGAAATTCGCTTCATTAAGAAACATTTGATCTTAGTTTTGAAGGACAATTTATGTTTTATTTATTGAAGATCTCTTGGTAGGATATCATACTTGAAGAATAGGTGAACAAAGTATAAAAAATGTTGTGTAAATGGTAACATGTTTACCAAAATGTTTGCAAATTTCGATATAGATTTAATCTACTGCGTACATATATTCCAACTTTTGTTGTTAATCCCTGTTTACTGTAAGCGTCATGCAACCAACCACCATGCAGACTAAATTTCTCTTACATCCAATATAAGGTTGGATTTATTGCATCCTCTGCATGCGTTTCATACAACAAATATAATAATAGTTCATACAATGGACTGCTGCTTTCCTTTATTTATTTAACGTCGGTCTCTGCTCCGCAATCTAGTGCCAATCACCGACGGACATCGATTGCCATCCATTGACGGCAATCGAATGTGCAGGAAGGCAGCTTCCACACCTGCGTAGGATATCGCACCCATTCACAACACACATGGGCCGGGACCAACGGCTTTACTTCCCTTCCGAAAGGAAGACGTGACCAGAGATTTTTAGGCCTCAGAAAAATCCCACCGACCTCGGCTGGGATTGAACCTAGACCTATTGGGGTGTTAGAAAGCAGTCACGCTTACCACTACACCACCGGCGCCGGCTAATGGACTGCTGCGTACATGCAGGTTTATCCAGAATGCATATATTTGTAGAAACAAACAATAGGGTGCGTGTGGTATTTTTGCACTGAATTCAATATCAATACCTCACTCGTGTGTTGCATCATTAAAATCATTGTGTTAGTGCTTCTATGTCTGAGAAAAGTAAAAAACTTTCGGTAAATAAAAAGATGGCTACGCAAGACCGCATTTATTCGTCAGTAGTTGTTCATTATCTTAGGCCGGAATTTTTTTTCTTCTGATGAAAAAACTTCAATCAGGATCAAAAAATTAACCGGCAAAATATCAGATGGCTTGCAGCTAGACGCAATGAAGTTCCAATCATCATGTCAACCAAATTTCCGACGCACGTGATGGTTCTAGGAGTTGTATCCATATTTTTTGTGAAAGGGCTGAAGGTAACAGGCGATATTTGGACGTTTTGAAGAATGTTTGTTGTACCGTGGATGGAGAAGGACTACTGGACGTCATTTTATCTTCCAGCAAGACGGAGTTCCAACTCACAATGCAAAGAAACGCAGAAATGGCTTACAGAAAATGTTCCGGAGCTATGGGAGAAAGTACTTTGGTCACCTGGCAGTCCCGATGTCAATCCTCTGGACTAGTTTGTGTAGGGCATCGTAGAATATAGCCCCGCATACAACAATTGGTTCGTTAAAATCAGAAATAAAGCAGGTGATTGCTTCTTTAGATCGAGAGATAAGAAAACGCGCCTGCAGTAGTTTCCGCAAGCATTTGACGACAATTATTGAAAACCAAGGCGACTTTTTTGAATGAAACTCCTTAAAAATATAAGTTTTGCATACTCTTCATGCAGATCTGTAATATAAAACTTACATTTTCCGGTTGGGTGCACCATTAATCGAGTGATCAGCTAGTTGCCTCGACACGGTACCAGTAAGGTATGATGTGATTTATGAAACCAACCACGTTTCCAGAACTAGCAGACCAAATCTCACTGGGTTGGTCGTCGATCGAGCGGGAAGCAATTCATGTCTTTTGTAAACTCGGACATCAGGGTAGCCTGGATATTAGACCAAACTCCACTCTGTGTGATGGTAATTCCAAACAGCACTTTGTTTAGTTTTTCGTCGTTACGGAATGCCAACAGCACTTGACGATCATTCAGCAGCCAAGTAGACTGGAGCACCAACAGGCTGAGCATAGTTCCTTCATAAGCACACGATGCACCCGACGAGGAACGAGACTTCTCCTTTTCCTCTTTTGTTGCAGCTTTGGTGGGGTAGGAAGTAGGAATGCATGTTCGATATTGATAATGCATTTAAACTTTGCAAAAATAAAAAATTATAATTTAAATTCAATATTTAACAATCTACATTTAACATTATTTAAAGTTTGTGTTCGATTTTACTATGAGATTTTTTTTTAGGTACAGTAGTTTGGCAACTGCCGTACTGACTATTTTTCTTCTTCATTAATCGGTCAAAAGTAAGACCATGCTGGAGGTGGCTAGGTTCAATTCTCCCGGTCCGGTCTAGACATTTTTCGGGTTGACAAATTTGTATGACTTCCCTGGGCATAGAGTATGATCACACAATAATACCAATGCAAAAAAGGTACAGACTTAGAAAGCTCTCAAAGAACAACTGTGGAAGTGCCAAAGGAACACTAAGTTGAGGTTGAGGTTTGGCGTTAAGTCGCATCATAAAATACCCTTATATTTTATATTTTATATATTTTGTGCTGCCAAATATGGAGACGCCTAAAACGGAACACTGCAGTAATTAATTATTTTTTTAATTCTTTTTGTCGTATTTACCGATACTAGAATCACATTTTATCTCTATATTTTTTGCTCTTATATGTTTTCATCGTCTATGAGTTAAAACGTATTTAAAATAGGGGAAATGGATGTAATGTCAGCCTAAATGCCCCTAATTTGAGCCTGTAAATAAATTCAGCAATCGACTAAATTTTCAATAGCGACCAAAAATAGCCACCAGTACCGTCCCAATGATGCGTTCATCTAGATAAAATTGATAAATAGCAGATTTTCAGCCATGGGCCCAATCTTAGATCCAATTTCCCCTATATAAGCTTTGTTTCAAAAGTCCAAAAGTAAGCTTATATACAAATAAAAAAATAAAAATATAGAAATTATTGAAAGATATTAGGTCAGTTCGCATACTTTCTGTTTTTTTATTGTTTTTGCTGAAAGTTGCCACAGGACAAACTTGTTTATAGGTCTAATATTATATCTAATATTACAAATCATTGAGTTACCGATAATGGAGTCCGACCTATATATGATATTAAGATTGTATGACAAAAGATCGCATGACAAAATGACGAATGACAAAAAGTGGAATGGACAAACGGTCGAATAAATAATAAGGTCGAATGGAAAAAAGGTCGAATGATGAGAAGAGATACAAAAGATCTAATGGAAAAAGGGCGATTTATTCAAAGGATTGTATGACAAAAAGTTGAATGACAAAATCTTGAATAACAAAAAGACAAAAGGTCGAATGATTAGAAGGGGGACAGAAAATCGAATGATTAGAAGAGGGACAAAATATTGAATTATGGTAAAGGGGACAAAAGGTCGAATGGTCTAAAGGTCGAATGATGGAAAGGGGGAGAAAAGGACGAATGGACAAAAGGTTGAATTATGAGAAAGGGGACAAAAGGTCAAATGGACAAACGGTTTAATGATGAGGACTAAATTTCGAATGGATAAATGGTCCAGTGATAAGAAGGGGGACAAAAGGCCAAACTATTCAAAGAAGAATAATACTCTAATACCCAGTGCCATAAACCATAACAACATTAATATTCGAAACTTCTGCCCGAATAACAATTTACCATACAAAAACAGGCAGGTGGATTGCGCCTACACTAAGCTTGCCTTGTGGAAGTTCTACGACAATCCACAGCTGTTCCAGTTGACTGGAAATGGGTGACGTATTTACGTAGCCGGCTAGTCTCGTTGATACTGCATGCAGGCTACCGCGCGATTTTTGACTGTTTATGGGAGACCGATCAGTTCTGAAGACGGAATAGAGTGTCCCGGAAAGTTGCGATGAGTTAATTCGGTTGTCCAGCCACGTTTCCGTCAGCACAATCAAATAATATTCGGCCTCTCCAACAGCCAGGAAAAACGAGTCGATTTGAGTTCTCAGCCCACGCACGTTTTGGTAATAGATCCGGAGACCATTTGAGGAGCAATCACGGGAGCTGGAAATCGAAAGGACATCAAGCTCGGAATTGCAATCATACTCGCCTGAGATTGCAGGTCGGAAGCCCCCGATACCATCACCGACCACAGGACCGGGACGATGAAGATGTCGGATGTTAACAGCAAGCGCGACTGGGTCGGGAGGTTCGGAAGCTTCCTCAGTGCCTGTTTTAGGGTGTCCCGGATCCGAGGAAGAGCAGGTGATGGCATAAAACTGCTGGCAGTTGGCAGGACGGATGCATATACATGATCTGGCTAGTGCGGAGGCAGTATCACGCAAAGGAGATGCTGAATCGTCAGTATACTTGCCAGTAATAGCTGGTTGGAAGACTCTCGACCTACATCTACACTCAGGGCCGAGGCGACTATGCTGAGCGCTGGCTGGAATAAGTGCGACTGAGGCAGAGAAATCGGAGCGTCTCGGTGGTGATGGTGGGGGTCGTGATGCAGTAGAGGTAGCAGTATTATTCTTGGAGATCGTGGAAACATCGTGAATAGCGGGTTGGAAGACCCCATCTCCAATCCCACACACAGGGCCAGGACGACTGGTGAACGAAGGCGGGAAAAGGTCGACTGTGGGGGGGGGGGGGGGGATTAGGGACTTCCATTGAGTTAACATCGTTGCGTTGCACTCTGCACCACTGTGGTGAGAGAATCGGTGGCTTCCGCGATGCTGACATCAATGCGTCCCGTCCCGCGTCCTTTAAATAATGAATTTGTATCTCATTCCTGTTCTGTCATTCTTACATGATATTCATCATATTTGCTTGCTCTGACTAAGTGTTTTACTTTTTCTTGAATTTTCAGACAAGAACAAAATTTGGCCAATGGATGAATACGCGCCTTCTAATAAGATTCTTTCAAGTGACAGTAGTGATTCATGGAACATAGAATTATCGAAAGATAAAGGTAAGCTTTAGGTTAAGTATTCCAACGATGAGAAAAAATTCAAATAAAAGTCTCAAGTATCAAGAATGGATTACATACATGGTATTGAACCGATTTCTATTTTCTATAATTTGCAGAACGATACAGGGAAAACTCCGCTACGCTTGAAGACCAGCGTGAAAAAGAAGCGTTTGTAGACAATGACACAAAATCGAACGCTTCCTCTACGTTGAAACTCAACCTTAAGGACTTGACTTTACTTCTCGCGTTGCTTATGATGATTAACTTTAGGTGATTGGTTCAGCACTATCAGTGATATGAAACACAAAACAAATTTATGCCGAAAAAGAAAATCTAATTAAATTGAACTATTTACTTGAAGATAATCCAAATCAGATGCGTACTTGAGCGATTTCGGTTATGCAACAGGAAACATAAACAAGATCTGAACAAAACACAAATAGAAAAGCATAAGTAAGGAATTAATGTTATACAATAAAGGTAATTAAATTTTATAATAAAATGAGACTGGGCGTTCTCTTTATTCTGTTTGTATCCGAATGCCATATTGCAGAAGTTTATACTTATAATTGATAGTGTTTCGTTCGTCTTCACTTGTAGCAGGTAAGTTTTCAGAGTGTTGTTTTTTGTTGGTGTCTCGAACAGGATGTGCTTACATTGGATTAAAACCGTTGTTTAGCAAAGTTTGTTTGTGTTCTGTGGAACGTTTCTGACTAAAAATTTGGACAAAGGCGTAACATTTTAAGGTAAGGTCATAGTGGCGCCAATGGTGTAGTGTTAAGCGTGATTACCTCTCACCCCAGCAGGCCTGAGTTTTTGTCAATTCTCAGCATTGACGATTTTGTCGATGCAAAATGACAGTCAGTCATCAAAAGTAGGTATCTAAATATCACTTCTAATCGATTTGGTACAGCTAAAACGTTGCCCAAGAGAGTATACGTCTATTATTGTTTATTTTTAAGTTATTCATGAATTGCTGCAGAAATGATTGCCGTATTTTTGCATATTTCCTTTAAGATCTCTATAATATTTACAATACCTTACAGAAACGTTAATTACCTGTGATTTATTGGGAAAAGTATACAAGTAAATAATTCAAAATATTGCATTTTTGAGAGTTTTTCTGTGTTATGGTGCTTAAAAATATCAATGTATAGATCAAACTCGTTCAAAAATCCAGCATATCCAAAGTGCGATGCGACGCCAAAATTTAAAAAAATATATCATATTTGCCAACCGCTAGTTTTATTCATATAACAAAAGTAGTGTCAGCGTCTGGCTGAAAATCTTAATAACAAACCATCCAAAAGTACAGTGTAGAAGAATATGCTAGGAGTTTCTTTTAGCCTAGCCAGAAAATGCGTGGATATGAATCATATTATAATCAATTTTGCGGTAGCGGAATTGATCAAACAATAAATTAAAGCCGTTAAATTACATGTTTTCTTTTTGTCCCAATGAAATGATCATGTAAGAGGGGGGCAAAAAAATAAGAATCTTTCAATTTAAACATATTATTTATTTTCAATCCAAAAATACAGGGATTCTGTATTAGATAATTAACCACTTCATTCGAGCTTCGACTCAAACTTCGGAAAAAAAACATATTCTGTGATTTTTCCTTCTAGAACCTGGAGAAAAGTTGACAACATTCATTTGTTCTATAAAAAAACATAGTAATTTGTTGGCCTAGTTTTTTTTTTTAATCGCTGGGAGAGAGTCACTCCAAAAATGCTTGATAAAGTGGCCCATTATTATGCATATTCTAGATTTTAGAATCGTGATTTTGCTAGCCAATAAACAATTTAAAGCAATGTTTTGGGAAAATGTCGAGGCTTGGTTTACTCAACTAAGAAAATACTACGAAGTAAGGTTGGGAAGTGACATACAGTGTAATATAAATTTGAATCGGCCAAACATATTAAAGAAATTCTCTGAATGAAACAAAAATAATAATTGTTTTTTTTTTCATGTTCCCAAACTACTTCTATTTGAAATAAATGCCATTAAATGCATATTGAATAATTCTAATTGCCATCTTATTGTATAAAGTGCTATAGGCTCTATTCATTGGAATAATGTCATATGACGTCGAAAAAAAAAATGAGAAAGTTGCATTTATTATCCATTTTATTCAATTCACGCCTTCCACAATTTGAAGATGTGTGTTGAATCACGTTACATGCGATACGGCACTCTATCATCATAAGTATAATTAAGACAAAATCAAACTCGCAAGCCTTGCTTGAAAAGTTGAACGATGATGTGCAAAATCATCAATAAAAGAATTATAAAAGATCTTCTCAGCAGCAAGGCTGCCCGAAAATCGTATAGAAGAAATGGTTCTTTTGTGAGCAGGGGTGAGAAATAATGGCGATAATGATAACGATAATGATGATGACATCAAGTTTTCTTCGTCGCCGAGGTGGAACCGAGATTGAAAGTAGACAGTTTATATTGATTCGGATGTGCTTCTAACGTTTCGAGCGTTGGATTTTATAGCTCTCACAAACCAATTACGTAATTAAATGCCGGAGTGAGCTCAAAAGTTATACCAACTTCTTCCGCCAAAAAGATCGGTTCATGTATAAAAGATATTTTAATTATTTTATGTGACCCAGAAGGTAGCTCAGTTTACGGCTACATTCGCAAGGTCGAATCTAGTGGAGGGGAAAACTGTGGAAAAACTTTCCGATCCTTATGTGTTACACATAAAACTCACCTTGCTCCCACGTGGCATAAGAGGAAGTTCGTGTGGAAGAGAACTGCTTTTTTATTTAGTGTTTAGTTAAGAATTCATTTTGATAAAGTTTTGATTTATGCTGGAAATTTTACTCCTTTGTTTCAGGTTTCACGCGTTCTACCGATCTTTCTGCACCCTACGCTTTTGAGACCATCTTGGGTTCGTAAATAAAATTAAGCTTCTGCTCTGGAAGTGTGAGTTAATTAATAAAACATTCAGCAGACACTTTTGTATTTAACAGCTCTAGTCAAGCATTGACTTAACAGGGTATTTTTGTTTTCTTTAGACATGGAAAAGTTCAGATTTACCGTAGTTAACCGACTGCCGGGTTATTTATAAGGACATTAATGTTTTTATTAAGTACCTATCACATCCACTTTATAACATTATAAATATGTGTGGTGTTTCTTTGGAATTAAAATACAACGAAATGCATATTATGATCATTATATTGAAATCTTGGTTATTTCTTAATGGCAACTATGGAAACATGATATAAAATCAATGAAATGCTTCTTAAACCTTGGAAAAATAATACCACATGCCCGTCACTCCGCTCATCTGACTAAAAAAATACATTTTCTTATTTCTATATAGTCTCCGTGATTTTTATGGGGAAGAAAGTAGATAACCTACATTTTAAAATTCTTCTTTAACCTATGTTGAACGCTAAACTAATGCGTAGCAACATAGGTTCATGCTCCTGCCTATGTTTTTTTTTGCTCAGAGTAGCATAGTGACGGGCAAGCGAGAAATGTTTTTTTTTCAGAACCTTTTTTATTGACTAAAAAAAATACAACAGGACAGTACAAAAAAGCACAACAGGTGAGTAGCTTCGCGGTATAATCTTGTAGAATGATCCGTTCTGGATAGACGAAGGTATATACAACATATTAACATCGTCCACACACTATCCCGTTTCGAAGATACAAAATATTATAAGGAGAAATTTATTTGAAAACAGGTCAATCTGGTTTCCGTGTCGAGAGTACACATATTGTAGAATATTTGAAAATGTTTTATCTAAAACCGAAAACCGCCAGCTTGAATTCCAAAATTAAATTTTGTGTCTCCACACATTGTTCCCATTCGCAAAATACCCGTATTATAGAGTATTAAAGATTGTACTTGAAAAAAAAATGCAAACATTTCTTTGGTGTACAACTTTTTATTGCATGGCTAAAAATTAATGGCGGCAAGCTGGCAGAGGAAGAAAAGCGAAGTTGACCGACCCCTTGAACGCAAGGAAGGTGAGGGATCTGAACCTTTCGATTCTGGACGTTGCCAAGAAGGTCAATTTTTCCATCTGGTTCGTCCAGCAGACAATTAAGCGGGCCGGACTTCATGTCTTCAAGGTAAGCCGATAAACACAGGAACCGATAAACATAATACGGTGGTCAGATCCCGTGTCAGGAACAGGGGTGGCAAATGTCATTTTCAATGAAAGATCTCACGCGATATTTACAGAGATATATCTGTCACTATCATCGGATGAGAAAACCATGATAGAGATTTTCTTCAAAATCTCATCGAATTTTTTGTCATGACAAAACGTGACAGTGTTGTGATCATCGTAATTACTAGCTAATTTATTGCTATTAAAGTTACTTGTATCGAGGAAATCTTAATAATATATTCACTTTACCGATTACATACGGTTGCTTGCATAAATTCATCTAAATCAGTTAGAAATGTTGATGTCAAAATCGTATAAGAATTATTCTCATGACTGCTTGATCATTGGAAAATGACAAGAAAGTTAAAGATAGGTAGTTTCGTCTCGTGATAGTGAGAGGACATGTTTTCTCATTGTCACATGACGGCCGTGATATTTATCAGCTCTGGTCAGGAAGCTGTACCGAAATGCATCGTAATGGACGATGAGACGTACATTAAAGTGGACGCCAAGCAGATCCCCCTGGCTTAAAATTTTTTGTCGTCAAATCCCACCTGGATGTTCCGGAGAAGTTCCGGAAGAAGAAGGTCGACAAATTTGCCAAGAAGTATTTAGTGTGGCAGGTGATCTGTGGGTGCGGAAAATTCAGCAAGCCGTACATAACGACCGGCACCATCAACGGCCAAATATATAAAGAAGAATGCCTCCAGAAGCGCCTGCTATCTTTCCTCTGGTTCCACGAAGGTGACACGCTGTTTTGACCAGATCTGGTATCGTGCGATTACGCAAAACCGGTGATGGAGTGGTAGGTCAACTATGTTGTTTTTGTGCCGAATGAGGCAAATCCGCCAAACTCGCCAGAACTTCGCCCAATAGAAAATTTTTGGGCTATTATGAAGGGCAAGCTCCAGAAAACAGGAAAGGTCTTCAAAAACTACAAGGATTTGAAGAAAGAGTGGATGAAAGTGTGTAAGAAAGATGGCGTAAGTATTACACAGGATTGGATTATTTAGCCTAAGAGAGGAGGTTGAATAAAGCAAAACATAGCTAATATGTGTTTATTTATTCCCTGAGAGTTTCAAAAATATCCGTTTTAAAATGATTTTTGGACATTCTGTTTATCTGTTGCATTTTTTTTCGAGTACAGCTTAGCTAGATAGCTTTTCAAAATTCGATAGCCACCACCTTGGATTCCAAAATGGCATTTATCATAGACTTGCGTCATCTACACGTCGTTCCCGTTCTGAAAATAACAATATTCTACAATAAAAAGCCGCTATAGACGCATTTCGCGCCAAATCGTATTCGGAGCTGGCAGCACCCTCTCAGATTTCAATGAAACATTCTGGATGTGTGGACCTTGACTAA